AACAGTCAACATGGTTTCTTTTCTTTATTTGAAGAGCTGTGGAAGTACAATTTCAATGGTACAGGCTATCACAGGTCTTGTGATATGTACAGAAGATGGAAACTGCTGACCTAAGGCTGCAATTATTATACATTTCCACTGGATATAAAAATATTTAAACTTTTCCTGAATTCATGATTTTTTGCATGAAGATAGGGTGATTAGAAACATGTATAAAGAGTGCAGGTAGCACACGTTGAAAATTCATCCAATTCTGTGAAATTCTATCAGTCTTTGGATCCTGTTAGAGACAGAGTTTAGTTCTTGTCAAACAATGATGGCTGTTCCCAGTTGAGCTGAGCTTTGTGCACATCGACCTTCAGGGGTGAAAAGCAGCTGTGCTTTTCCACCATCCCAATCACCTCCAGCGGCTCAGTATGATTCAAATTCCTGATGGAATCATGTGCAGAGAAGTCTAGTATAATTGTAACTTTAATGAGCACTATTCTGACATTATTTAAAATTTTTCTTTCAGCACGATACTGTGTAAATATACAGACTAGATTTTATGCAAAGACTCGGGGCTTAAGTCTCCAAACATTTCTGAGTGCACTGGATTTCAAGGGCAATTGTCTGCTTTCACTGTTATAGTATTTTAAATATCAGGAGCAACCTTTAATAGATTAAAAAAAATAACTGGTTTTAAAAAGAAATAACACGGTGGGGAATTTCGGCTGGACCAAGCCCCTGAGGTGGAGTGAAAGGGTGGCTGAGAATGGAGGCCCTGGTCCTGACAACGTACTGATGCATCCTGAGGGAGCAGAGGAGCAGCAGGAGAGAGCTGTCTCGTGGGAATGGGGAACACTGTCTCATGAGAACGAGCACTCGTTTTGAACAGAGTGACTGAGAAAAATATAAACATCAAAGGAAAACAGGGACAGGTGCACAGAAATGTTGTGAGAAAGTAGAACTGAGAAGGTCCAACTAAAATCTACCTATTAGCTGTGAGAATTGTAGTTTGTGTATTTAAGTTGACCTATCTGTGTGGTATACGTGTACCAAAAGAACTGTATTTGAGGCTGTAAATTGCAGCTCGTGGCTGCTGCTGCTTCATTATTCTTTCCAATAAACTTTCTTGCTGAATATTATATGTCGTAGTCCGTCCCAACAACGACAAACACAGCCCTTTGTTATTTTGAAATAACAAATTTTTACAACTTTTTCTATATATACTCTGCACCTCTGCACTTGTACTATGTTTTGTTTGTTTAAAGAAGTGGCATTCACCTTCAAGTGGCATTCTTGATTTTACACAGGATAAAAGGAAGTATTTGCCTTTCTTGCTGGTAAGAAGAAGAAGAATGTGAACTCTTTGTTCCTTAGGGAAAAGTTGAACCATGTCTATCCTGAAGAGTCCTTTAGGTCTGCTTATTTGTTGTGCTCACTGTGCCTTGCCTCGGTGCTGAAATGTCTGACAGAATCATCAGAGATCAGGCAGCTGAAAATGTCAACAAAAACCCCAGCCCTTTGTGGTTCTGTACATTTGTTGACATATAAAAAGCAAAATAGTTTCTCTCTCAGGGCTAGCAGTCTTTATAGCAATAATTATAATTCTCTCTGTAAGCATTATCCAAGTCTTAGATTAATTTGTAAAATGTTTTTTGTTGCTCTTTTCCGGTCCTTTTATATAGTATAGTAATCTTCTGTGGATAAACATGTCACAGAATATATATTTAATTGTACAGTCTGGGGGTTTTTTCCTCTTATTCTGTCATTTGGTGCTTGACTAGACATGCAGTATTTTACTACATTGATTGCAGTTTTTCCATAGGGATATTCATGGGTAAAATTTAGAAAATATGTTGTAATTGTAGATCCAATGTAGAGTATGAGAAACATAGATGCAGATGTTACAGTTTTGTTTGTGTGTAATTTAGATTTCGTATATACACTTTAGTACCTAGGGGAGATGGGTATAAAATTAAAGAGTTGGAAACATTGTACTGAGTGTAATTGCACATTGTCACTACTTGGAAGTTAATTTTTTTTAGACAAGTTTGAAAAAACAGCGTGAAATTGATAGTAACTCTCTCTTGAAGGGAGGCATTGAATAACTTTCAGGAAAATTAAAAAAAAAAAATCAAACCCACACTGTTGTTGCCATTCTGTGCCAGAGAAAGTACACAGTTAGGAAGTACTCTGGTTCTTCTGTATAAAGTGTTGCTGACATTTTTAGGGTATGTGCAGTGAGTGACCTTTGGTAAATTATAAACTATAGCTGGACTATTTTCATGAAAGTTGATGTGCCTTTGATCTATTTGATCTCTAATACTAAGATGCTATTAAGATAATTAAAAATACTTAATATTTGAAATATTTATTCTTTTTGTTTTGTGATTTCACGTATGAAAGCTTTTGTTGTCAAAAGTTGTCTCTTGTTGCTTTGATGTCACAGCACGAAGCATTCAGAGAGACACTGATGATCAGAAAACGGAGGCGACTAACAATTTAGTCTGGCCTGTTTCATAACACAAGCTGTGGATTTCCTCACAGTGATTGCAGCATTAGATGAGCAATTTTCAACAGAGCTAGGAAATAATTATCTTTCTATGAAGATGGCTTTTAGGCCCTAAACGCCTTTTTTCATTCTACTTTCAGTAGGAAATAGGGATCTTAATTTTCTGAGGAGGCCTCTGTGGGGAACAGTAGTCCTCATGCAAGTTTTAAGTACCCTAATGAGCAAACTGTTGTTGGCTTTATTGGGAATTTGCTTGAGTAAAAACGGAAAGGATTTGGCTCATTTACTTTCAAATGCCTAGATGTATAGACATTTTACTGTATTAAGATGCTTTATGATATTTCACTTGACTTTTATCCTTTCTTTATATTCTGTGTACATCTGTTCAGTGTAATTGCACATCCTATATGGTTAACTGAGCCCGATGAAACACCTGTTGCTCACATTCAATGGCCTTTATTTGAAGGAACAGTTTTCATCCATAAAAGGAAAAATCCAGTTCTGTGCTTCGTAAATTAAGGATACCATGGCATTTTAAAATCCCTTCTTAAAAATTTCTTCTGCTGTAGTACCAACTGGTATAGTGTGTAACTAGTGCTGGACAGTCCCCATATGCCACACTCTGTTTCTACTTATGCACACCACATCTTTGTGGACACAGCCTGGCTGCATTATGATTGCCTACTCTTCTTTGTCCCATTGCTCTTTTCTTATGTGCTTAAAAAGTTAAATATGTAACTCAAACAACTGTGTTGTGATCATGAAGTTTATTTTAAATGTTGTTCTAGTAAAACCTAAAAAAAATGGGTTTTAGTTCCACAGGGATTGAGTTGAAGTTTGGAACACATGTTGAAGACTGTGGGGAAAATTTCATGTGATTTTTGAATACGTTTGAGGCCAATTTGTAAAAACCTAGGTTGTAGATCGTACATGTTTATGTGGAAATTATGTCTGATCTTGATGAATAAATTATGGAGCTGCAAATCACCATTTTCCAAGAAAAGGCCAAACAACCCTGGTGCCTCTGCCAGGTATCTCTGATTATCAGCTGCAATCATCATGTCTTTGCTAGGAAGGTCATAAAACTCTTTTTTTTTCAGGCTTTTGCCCACAGCCTGTTAGTCCTGATTTATTTATTTTTTCTCTTATAAATGAACTTCAGACATTAAATGAAAGAGAGATTGAATTACTGTGCACTGAAGCCCTTTGCACTTGCCTTAGAGCAACTTACTAAGGTATGGGGGGGTTCTTATTTCGTGGAAAATGCCTTTACCAACCAGTCTCATCTCTACTGCAGAAGCCTATCACCTCTGGTTCCAATTCCATGCATTAATATAAAAATCTGAGAAATACCACACGAATGCAACATCTGCCAGGATTTATCAAAGTCTTACTAGTCTAGCTGATATTAAAGCCACATGATGATTTTAGACTTGCCCATAGTGGGCCAATCGGGCATCAGGAGAGAGCTGTGCTGTTTTCCTCATACTAACCACTTCAAGGCATTAGGTATTAATCATCAGACTCCTAAATGATTTATTTCAAAATTAACAGCTTAAAGGATGTGTGCTTAGAGAAACCCAAAGCTTCCTGTTGTGTTTCTGTAACTATTTGGTGGTTTGTATTTAGAGCTTACAGTTCTGTATTTGAATTTTAGAATCTGAGAATCAAGATGTTCCTAAAGTAGCGTTGACTGTATTTTCCTGGCCTAATCCATCAGTGCTGAGATAACTGAATCATGTGCTTAAATTAGCTGTTCTAAAACAAGAAAAAAAAGCCTTGTACAATCTGACAGGATTCATATTGCTCTTTCTGAACTGTGTTAAAAGGAGAAATTATACTAACCTGTTTTTTATAGTTCAGTCTAGCTACTTTACGTTTCTACTCAGAAACCAATGAATAAATCATGTGTTACATATGTGTTAATCTAACCAGATCCTCAAGGAAGAATAAGTAGAGCGGCTGTTATTTTTACAGCTGTAGCTCATAATTTGAGTGCTTTCCATTTAGCTAAGTATTTAAATGCTGTCTATTTAAATATAGTGCAGGATTTAGACTTCTAATAAGTGTATTGATACAATACATCAAGCCTCTTTGCTTTTTCTGAAGCCCTAATTTTATGTCAGAAACTAGCTGTTAAACTAGTTTAAAATTTACTTGTACCATGATCCCTTTGGAGAGAGCTTATGTCTTAAAATGTTTTTGCAATGCCTAGCCTACTTAAGTTGTCAAGTTGAAGCTGTAAGTTTCTCTCTCAGAACAAGTATTAAATAAAAATGTTAAACTGTGGTTTGTGTGAAGATCTCCAGTCCAAGGGTGTGGCTTCACTGAATTCTCAAGACCTTTGTTCACTGGGGTGAATCTCTAGTTGTTAAAGAATTGACCTCATAGATATTAAGTTATTCTCCACAAGTCATGGAAAAGTTTAGATAGTAGAGCTTTGCATTAGAAAGTAATTGTGTTGATAATTTCTTTCACATAAAGATTTTGGTGTTCTGGCTAGGTTTTTTTTGTTTCAAGGTTTAGATGGAGACCCTGCTAATGGCTGTCTATGAAGAAAATGAAATTATATATACCACATATGGTAAGTACTTACTGTTTTATTCAGATTATTTAATTAAAATATTGCTGTTATTTTTATTTGATATTTCATTTATCACAAGTGAAATTTGTTGTAAATTACATATGAAAACTCACTTTCTAGCTGTGTCCTCTCACAGATACTGCTTTTTTTGGTAGTACATTCAAGGTTTTAAAGGAACTATCAGCAACTCTTCATGGTAGAGATAAAATGCTTCTGTGTGTTGGAACAGAAAAGAACACCTTTAGAAACAATTATGGCAAAGTAAAAATTTTTTCTTAAGTCAAAGGAGAGAAAAAATCCATTATCCCAGAGATGAAGTGGCCTGACATATTAGGACACTAGAGAGATTTCTGTTTCAGTTTGGCAGCTGGTGGCATTAGAGTTATAGTTCTGTTAAATAGTCAAAGAAAGGCTGGTAGTTATAAATAAAATCTTATTTGCTAGCAAATATGTTACTGAAGTACAAATGTTCTTTTTAATGTGTTTATTGGGTACTCCTCTGTTCAATTGTATATGTCATTTAAATATAATCAGTAGTCATTCTGTGGGAACTCTTTAGGTAATCAAAATGAAATATTGCTTTGAAAGGTGAGGATTTAGAACTAGGAAAGAGGGATAAGGCCCTAAAATTTCCTGTGGCTTCTGGTAATCAAGCAGGTAGCACGAGCAATTTGTTGATGAGTGATGCCCTAAATAACTTAATGCCCAATTAGGTATCACCTTATCAACAAAGGGAGGAGCTGTAGTTGGTTTCAGAGGGTTGGTACTGCACTCTGAATATCTGTAGAAGATACTTCTATGTTGGGCCTGTGAGTCCGTAGCCCCCGAAGAACTTCACTGCTGTAAGATTCTGTCTGGGACTTGCAGTGTAGCACCATAAAATCAGCTTTGTTGGCTGCAAACGCTGTGTTCCGCCTGGTTCACTGGGCTGGGGGAAGCTGCCATTATCAGCTGCGCTGTGGATGAGGAGGGTGATCGGAATGTGGTCTTCCCTTTGCTGTTCTATCTCACACTGTGCACACAATAATGTCCCTTCGTATCCTGGCTGCCTGTAAAGTAGTTATTAAGGACAGACGTGCCCGTTGCTGGAAGTCCTAGATTTTTTTCTAGTTAGTTGTGGGAAAAAAAATCTGTTGTTTTGCATAGCTGTGTAGCTGTGCTTCAGTCCTTTGGAGTGGTGACAGTTTCTGTGCCCTTCAGTGACCGTGGAGCCCTTGGCTGTTCTTGGCTGCCCACTTTGTTTGATTGAGCCTTGTTTGATTGAGCTGCTGTACCGAGAGCCTCATGGCTTATAAACATCAAAACATGTGAAGGATAGTTCAATGGATGAGAAAAATGAAGCTTGTTGAAAATATGCCACAGTTTCTCCCTGTGTCTGCATTGGTCCCTGATTAGATCTTTGAGGTTATGAGGCCTTGTTCCACCTAGGGACTCTAAACTGAGGTACCATCTAAGAAGGTTTCTGCATCAGCTCTTGCCTCTGTCATATGGATTGGACCTTGTCACTGTTACTTAGGTGCTCTAAAGCTATTTGGCCGTACTGGGGAGCAGGATTAGGATAACAGGATGACACTCCTGTATTCTCATTTTGCCTCTGATTTATTGCTATGCTTTGGTCAGAAATGTATTTTGCTGCAGCCATGGTTGCATTCCTACAAGCTATATTTCTGGTGGGTTTTGCATTTCTTTGATTTCAGTGGGAATTAAAGTGTAATGAGATTTTAATTTTTTTTTTAAAGCACTTGAAAGACCTATCACTGTCTTTTTGGCACCAAAGTTCAAAAACATGACAAAACTGTTAAAAATGGTATCTCTTAGTACTAAACCATCAGAAGTTACTGTTCTTTTGGTGTGATTGTAGGAAGTGATTTTCATTATTCCACAATATGCCTTGGCAGTTTACAGTGTTTACTGTACCACTGTGTTTGTAGTGTTCCACGGTAAAGTCCAGTGGAACTTGGGACCTTAAGAATCCATCAGCCTGATGAATGCTGAGGTTCACAGAGGTTCACTAGCACAAGGTTTTCAATGAAGACTTGGTTTGTGGGTCAGAGGATAGAAGGTTGATTCCTTTTTGTTTTGCTTTGAGGGGAAAAAGGTCTGTTTTTAATCAGATTTGGATGTAGGTTTCTGTTGGACTGCTATTCACAGCTGCCTCAGAGTTTGTATGATGTTCATAAAATCAGAAATCTCATCTTTATTTGGAATATCGAGTTAGTTTGACTTTTTGGAAGCAGATGTTTTCACTATTGTCTGTGTTTTATTTCCTCACAGAAATCATGATGTGTGTTTGTTTGCTTTTATTCATTTAGTCCAGTGTGAGATTTTAAAAACAAATGTTTCTTTAGGAAACTGAAAATATAGCAATAACTGTATAACAGTGTTAAAAACTTTATCCAGCTTAGTAACTTAGAAAAATACAAAGTACTGGGAAATATAAAATCAAACTCTAAATCCAAATGGAAAATAAGTTTCATCTCCAAAATAGTTTCTTCTTTGTAGAATTTAATTCTGAGCTATAGCAGATATATATCTTGCTTTGAAGGTAAAAAGAAGATTATGTAATCATTTAGATTAGAAAAGACCCCTTAGATCATAGAGTCTAACCATTTACACTTCCAAGTCCACCATTAAACCATGTCCCAAAGCACCACATCTACATGTCTTTTAAATTCCTCCAGGGATGGTGACTCAACCACTTCCCTGGGCAGACTTTTCCAGTCCTTGATAACCCTTTCAGTGAAGAAATTTTTCCTGATATAATCCAGTATTACCGATTTTCTTGCTCCTACGTTCTCCAGTTTATAGAAGTAGTATAGGAGTTTTTGTAGGATTTTGACTGTTTAATCGAGAGTTTAAATTGTCTTTATATAGATTTAAATAATAATCAGGAGAATACCAGGTCAATACCATGCTCAATAGACAAGGCTTATGATTTCATTAATATTTATAAATTAATACTGTGCTCAATAAGAAATGCCTTCATAATTGGACTGTAGGAAGATTAAGTAACTAAATATGAAAGGGTAATTTTAGAAAGTAACTGTCAAGCTAAAGGAACAGTGTTGTCAGCTGTGGTGCTCACCATTCTGTTCAAGATGTGTGAAACAACTGTTGAAGGACTATTTTGGGGGAAGGGATGAGGCCTCTTCCAGGGTTCAGTTTAGGTAAGAACAGAGACAAGTAAGTATATTGTAGATAAGTTCTTATACATGTGATATCTTGGCAACCATGGGAAGTTAAGATAATTTCAGGTAATCTCATGTTTTCATGTAGCATGAGAATATTTTATGATTTCTCACTTAAAAAAGAAAAAAGGCAGAATTGTTATTTTTCTCTCTAAACACAATAAAAACACCTTTTATTCTTAAAAAGTTTTTGCTTGTTTTTCCCTATACAAAGAATACCTACATTTTCCAGTCGCAGACAACTGCATAAGTCTTGAAAACAGTTTCTCTTGAAACCAGGGGAGAGAGTAAGAGAGCAAATATCACCTGATGTGACAAAGGATCTAGAAAAGACACTATAAAGAGGTGTTTCAGATGCTTTGATGGGGAGGGTACAAAATGACCTCAACAGATTAAAGGAACAGTGCTTTCCATCTCATTTCCCCAGATCTTTCTGGCTGTGGCTCTAGCTTGTTTGCTTGTCATTTACAGCACCAACACAGGGCACTAAGCAATTCAACAGGATAAAATTATCAGAGTTTATGAGCAGTTAAAGTCTACTGGAAACATGTTTCTTCAGTCTTGGTGTGATTGATGAGACAGTCTGGGTATCTCTGGTTGTAATTTACAGAGAATAACAAACTCGAAACTGTTTCAAAATGACTTGCTCACACTGATAAACAGCTGTAATTGGAGCAAGTAAATTGCATGTTTCAAATAGCCCCAGAATATTTCTTTAAAGGGTATGTCTAGCTTCAAGTATGGAGAGTCAGTATAAGACAAACAGGGAGTACACTGGGATTACGAGATAAATCCTTTATTGTACTTCAGTTCTGCAGTATCTTTGGTTGTTTGACTTTCTGGTTTAGTCTCAGGAAGGGTAGTTTGAAGGGATATTCACATTACATAGTCAGCGTCTCACATGAAGCGTGCTGGTATGTGCAGCAGCTTTTTGTGTAAAGATTGAGACAAAAAAGACGTTGAGTCTTTTCTTGCTGTCTGTCACTGAGTTCTCTCCCCTGTCTGTCACCCACACATTTTCTGAACTTCCTTTTACAGCTGTCATGCCCATGGCTTCCCTACATTCCCAAAATGTCCCTCCCTAGGCCTGTCTTCAGGTGAGTTCTGGCCTCTCTGATTTTGTCCTGAAGTTTCTGAACAGTTCTTTTGTACTCTGTCTTTTTTTGCCTGTCCTGGTTTTCATCTCCCTTTTTCTTTCTAAATTTTAGCTCATCAAAAAGCTTCTTCCTAAGCCAAGTGGGCCTCCTGCCGAAACTCCTAGTCTTTACATAGTGCCTTCTTCCTGCCTGAATTCTCAAACATCAAGAAGCTCTCCTGGGAACGCTTCGACCTTATGCCTGTTCTCCTGGGATTTTACCCTGCTGTTCTCTTTAATAAACGTAAATCTGCACTTGCAAAATCTCTCCTCACTCTGCTTATTACCTTTTCAGCCTTTCTCCATGTCCTCAGCTCAGTCATCTTGAGGTCACTGCAACCCAGGCCACTGGACAAGGACCACCAGCCAGTTCATGCCTGTTTGTGAGCAGCAGCAGTGTTACTGCTGGTGAGCCCCTTCAGTGGCTGTGTTAGGAAATGGTCACCAATGCAGTGCCATAATTTGCATTGCCAGTCTAGTGCTGTGCTGTCCTCTCAGCAGATGTCCAAGTTCCTTGATCAGGAAGTCTGTAGGACACCCCTGCCTACAGCAGTAAAAGGTTTTTCTCTCTTGCCTCAGGGCCTTGGTCTCTATTTCTTAAAAAATCCCCAAAACAGTGTAAAGCCACCTCACTGGATTTAGCCTGTTTGCAAAGATGTTCTTCCCGGTCCAGATCAGGTGGGTTCTGCCTCTCCCCAGCAGTGGTTCCTCTCATCAGACAAGATGCTGTGATTTAGGAAACCAAATCCTTGCTGATGACGCTGGCTCTGAATGCTGCAGGTGACCCATGGATGCATTTGCTGCTACTTATGTCTCATTAAATGTAAAACAGCACGGGGACATCAGAGATTTGGTTACATGGTGCTAGACTGAAACTGCAGGGAGAACAGAGTCCTCTAGGAGAAGAGACTCATTTTAGCCTGCTTTGGGTTTTTCATTTTCCTCAGTTGTGCTGTTTTGAGGAGACACTGCTTGTAGTATCTAAACTAGTTTGTTTGTCTCTGCAGAGCATTGTGCTGTGAGTAGAATATACCTTTAGTCAGTTCTTCTGCAGAAAGGAGACCAGTTTATTATCTGTATACATCTTCTATCTGATTTCCTTTCCTGAGTTTGGCCTGTGGAACTGAATCTCAGGCTCTTCCTGTCTCTTTCATACTTATGAGTATCTTCTGGCTGTGTTTTCTGGGAAATTATAGGTTTTCTTTTAGGGCTGCTGCCAGGCTGTAGCGTGCAGAGACTGCATGTTTCTCTGTCAGAAGTGGAAAGCCCTGTTTACATTCAACACTTTACTCAACAATAGTAACTGGACTGGAATATCATTTGAATGAGTTCAGAGGATAAATTTCTGAAGAATTTACCTTGTTGCTTCTGTGTGGTGCCTAGCACATAAGGCTCTCATCTATCACAGGAGTCTCTAGGCACTGGTAAAGTACCAGTGCTAAAAGTCACCATTACACAGGATGGATTTTAGGTGTTCTGGCTTTTACTTTACTCGCTGGAGTGGTCAGCAGTGTCCTAGAGGCCTCTTGAAGCCTTTCAGAACCTCCCCTGTGTGAGACAGTGCAGATTCTAGAATTAGAGGATGGATGGCTTTTGGATTGAGATCCAAAGATGTTTTCCTGGTTATGAATTGAAAGTTCAGCCTGGCTGCTTTAAATATTTTATAACAACATACAATCCAGTAAAATTATTTGATAGCTTGGCAATGTGGTAGATTCAGCCTGCACTGTTATGAAGATGAGAAAACCTGCACCAATAAGACGGTGATCAAATTATCCTTATCTACTTGAAACCTGTTCCCTCACAGGTGGAAAATATCATAAATTCTTAACTTCTGTTGAAGATTGCTTGCATAATCTCTTATTGTCTGTATGAAAAGCTTTTTGAAACTACTTTCAAGGCAATATATTAATTCATAATACTTATAGGACTACCAACTAATAGCTTCATGACCTTGAGGATGAAGATAGAAAAATAATATTTTACAATAACAGGTTTTTTATTTATTAATATAAAAATAAAATGGTTTGCAGAATATATGGATAAAAGAAGTTGACATAGGAATTTAAAAATGTGAGATGATATTTTAGCAGACATACTTGGTTTCAAAAAATAGCATGACTAAAGAAGATAGGGTCAGCCACAGTTCCTTAAAAAGAG